GGGTACAACCCTGGGCCCCTGGGGTTGTGTGGGGCTGGTCAGGGGTGGGATGCGGGTGACACCCTGTGGCCCTGGGATTGTGCAGGAACAGTTGGGGGGGGCACAGGTGACACACCGTGCCCTCAGGGTTGTGTGCAGCCAGCTGGGGCGGACGCGGGTGACACCAGCACTGTCTTTTCCCTCCACAGTCCACCTGCCGCATGGCCAGCGAGAGCTACCTGCGGGCACAGCCGGCAGTGCGACTGTTGCTGGGGGGGTTTCTCAGGTAGGTCAGGAGCCATGGGGGACAGCGTGGCCCCCTCGTCCCTCAGTTTCCCCACTCACTCCTCCCCAGACTGAGACGTTTCCCTCCTTGTTCCTCCCCCGACTGCGATGCGGTACCCCTGCTTGTTCCTCCCCGGTTTGGGACGCGTTTCCTTACCAGCTCCCAGAGCTGCAAGAGTAATTGAGCAAAGACCCGTTAATTGTTATATGAAATTCCCAAGCTGAACACAGACAGAAAATAACTATTTCCCTCCAACTCTTATCAATTGGGTTATTGATTCCCTGGGCCCAAGCCAAATTCCCCAATTCTGCCCTGATCTTCCAGGGAGCAATCAGGAAAAGCCTGTTTTTGCTCTTTCCAGAGAAGTGATGCTGAAGAGACCGGAAAATATCCTGGAGTTTGCAGCAGGTGAGGGGGGGGGTGTTATTTAAACAGTGGCACAACTGTCCCTCCCCACCCCCAGAGAGCACAGCGGGGTGGCCTGGCTCTTCCAGGTACCCTGATGAGCTCCCCAGCAGCGTGTCCCTCTCCATAAGGGGCCCTTTTCCCAGTAAGGGCAGAGCTAAAGCGGATGGGGAGGAAGGGGCTCCCATCCCTGCAAGGGCAGTGTTAAGGTGATGGGGAGCAGCCAGGACGGACCACGGCTGCCTTCGGTCCCTTCCCTGCTGCTGCCAGAGCGCAGGGGGATCCTCTCTCACTCCCCACTGCCATTTCAGAATATTTCACTGACCCAGAGCTGCCCGGCAAGATCCAGAAGCAGCTGCAAGAACTGGAGCAAAAGGATTAAGTGAGCAGCACTGGCTGGAAGAGGGTCGCGTATGCACAGGGGTTTCCACTCCTCCAAATCGGGTTGTTAGTGCTCAGCTAATAACAGTCAGCAATACCTGGAGCTGTCTTAGTGCCTTTTTGGGTCGCTGCTCGCCACCAGCCCCTTCTGCCATGAGGTCCTCTCCGGACACGAGACAAGAAAGCATCGTCCAGGAGGAGGTGGCTGAGCCGCCGGGGGGTCTGAAGGGAATCTCCGGAGAAGCTGGGGCGTGAGCTCGGTCCTACCAAACCTCAGCCCAGGCCAAGGGCATGCAGGGGGGCCGAGCGCTGTGCTGTCCCCACGGAACGGCTCCCCAAGAGCTCGAGGGGGGGGGGGGGGGGGGGGACCGACACACAGAGCCCCAACATGCAAGCATTGCCTGCTGCGACACGACTCCCACCTCCTGGCGTCACAGCCCCATGGCGCTGACTGCCACAAGCACAGCTCCCTTGCTGAGGCACATCCCCCTCCTCACCTCCCCCAGCTCAGCACTCCCGGCCCTCCTCCAGCTGTAAGCGGCCCCACCACGCTCCGAACCACACTGAGCCGTTTATTAGCCACAATGAGGTGTCCACAGCCCCCAGTGCACACAGAAACAGGTGGTTTAGGACTATCCGTTGGCCCAGACAGCTCCTCAGAGAGAAGGGCAGGGAGTCCCAGTCCAATATGGGGGAATAGACCCTTCCTCCGGTGCCTACCAGTATGAAAGGAGGTGCTGAGCACACTGGAGATCCAACTGCTGGTGGGGAAATGAAGAGCGCCATGCCAACGAAGGTGCCGGGCTCTTTAGCAAGCTGGATGGGGCTGTGCCGAGGCCCCCACGTGCAGAACAGTGTCCCTGGGCACTCAGAGGAACTCTTTCTTCCTGGCTGCCAGCTGGGCTTCCTGGAGGGCCAGCCAGTGCCTGTAACGTTTCGTCTTGGGCCGCATGAACTGCACCACAGACATGGGAACGCGGACAGTCTCCAGCCCGTTCACCTGCGGCACACAGGGGAAGGGCGGTCAGGCTGGAGAGAAACCTCCCTTGTGCCCCCTCAAACACAACACTTTGGGTCATGTTGCACCCCAAGGCAGGGGGACTTGTCCTACTGCTGCCCTGAGCACTCCAGCTGGGTGAGGGCCTATTTCCCCTGCCGAAGAGCCTCTCTCTTAGTAAAACACTGGCTAAGGTGAGAAACTGGGAGCCTCCAAGCCCCTTCCAGAGCTCCCCAGAGTCTCTGCAGTCTGCTTACAAGCATCTGCCCCTCTGCAATCGCTCTCCCTTGGACTTTCTGCTGCCTGTACCATACTCTCCCCACCCCACTCCTTCTGATCTCGTGGTAGCTTCATCCTCAAAGCCCAGCGAGGTTACAGCACTTGCACACGTGGGGAGAAGCAGGAGAAATCGCCTTGCTTGTCAGGCGCATAGCTTGGCTGCTGTGAGATGGAAACAAAGTGCCCTCGCCCCTTCCCCACCCTCTCCCGCTGCAGGAATTCAGCGCAGCAAATTTAACAGGAGACTATGCAAACGAGCCCAGCGGTGATGACATGGTTTCAGAGCTCCAGGTGGCAGCTTCTGAGCCGGCTCTGCTCCCTTGAGAGGCTGGGAAGGACAAAAGATGAATGGAAATGCGTGAGGAGATGCTCTCGTCTATCTAGGTCATGGGGGGTTTTTACAAAGCACATCTGCTCCTCACAACCTGCCCCACGCTGGAGAGCTGGCGCCACCAACTCTGCGCTTCTCTCCCTCTAGAGCCTGCCTGGGTGCAGGCGCACGGGCAGGGCAACACCGTTAGCATCAGACTCTTGTCTCTCGCAGGCATAAGCATGACATGGGAAAGGGTCTTGCCGTGCACTTCTCTGCCCTGTGGGGTGGGGAGGTGCTGAGGAGCCTCTACCAGAAAAGGGAAACTGAGGCAGAGGGCAGCCACCAAGTGGTGGCAGAACTGAGAAAAGAACTGGGGCCCAGACTCCTCTCACCAGGGCAGGAGGGGGACAGAGAGGTCCCGACAGAAAGGGGGTTCACTCACCGTCACGTCGCACCAGTATTCGCCCCACCTTGTGATGGGCTCATCCGGCAGCTTTAGCACGTGGGGAGGCACAAAGACCCGCAGCTGGGAAACAAGCCCCACAAGTTAACCCATCAGTTACAACGCAGGATAACAGGTTAGCCTGGAGCGCACCAGCCGTGCCCTCAAGCCCGCTGACAGGATCCCGAGCAAGATAGGCACATAGACCAAGGGGGGGATGTACAGAGCCGATCTCCACCACGGGGCACATGGGATAGGCAACAGCCAGGCTCAGAGGTGCCTGCAAAGACTGCCTGACTCCTGCCAGCGCCGGCTTGACTTGTAACGTGGAAGGGATGTAAGGAGGAAACGAGGCCTCTTCTCCCGATTTATCATCTTCTTTTCTTAATCCCTTAAGTTCTTAAACCTCTGCTGAGCTGCTCTCTGCAGTTCAGCACAGAGCTTGGATGAGGCTGAGGTACCAGAGCATACCACACCTCAGCTGAGTCCAAAACCAGCCACAGACTCACAAACAAGAGAGAAAACCCTTGACAACGAGCCACCATGACTGATTCCTGTGGCTCAGCTCACAAGTGGGATGTCATGACACTGTTAAAGACCTCCCAATTGGTGCACAGCACCTCCAGGGCAGAGCCAGCTCAGCCCCCTTCACCTCAGGACAAACCTGGCAGGAAATACTAACGTTTTTGAGGAAGTGGCGGGCCACAATTTCATTATTCAGCTCCCATTTCACATTGTTCTTCATGCCCACCTCCAGGCGGCAGCTCTTGAGGAACTTGACAGTCTGCAGGGTTGGGGCAAAGAAAAAAGGTGTCAGAGGAGCACAGCGATAAGGAGCAGCAGGGGCAGTGCTCGTTTCTGATGCCTGAGATGTAAAGCCAGTGACTGAACGCTACGAGATGTCCTTGCTCGCTTTGTGAGGAAGGTCCCGAAGGGCTCAGGTACGTGAGTGGGATATTGCTGGGGTAAGGGGTGTCCCCAGCTGGCTGTGTTCAGAGGGAAGCCTAAGCTCTGCTGGGCCCTCCAAGCTACCCAGGCAGAACTTGCTTTTTTTAAGAGCTAGCCCAGTGAAGATCACCTAGGTGAAACATTGCCTGAGCCACCCTGGGAGAGAAGCAGCCACACTGGGCTATGCTCTGCCAGCAAAATCACCTTCAGACACAGCCAATGGGCTGTCTTCTGCATCAAACCAATTCCCAACTGATGCCGGCTGTGTGCCACAGACTGAGACCGCCCAAGCACAACTGCCGGACTGAACCTAGACTCAGCCTTCTCCTGCCCTCCCTCTGCTGTGGGCAATCATCATTTATTTAAAGGCACTTTAGAAAGGCAGAGACCCACTTGTCTCCTCAGCTGCACAGCCTACAAATTAGGCTTTGCTTCTTTGAGAGAACAAAAGCACAGAGAAGCGCACACGTGTATAGAAAGCTGCCTGCTAGAGCCGTAGCTGGAGGCAGAGGGTTCCCGGTGCCTTGCCAGGAGATAGGGAGTCTCTGGCTCAGATTTTCTGCTTTCCAGGACTTAGAGATTTCTCTGGAACAACTTTAGACGTGCTCGTGCCCCTCCTCTCACCTTTTCACCACTCTGGGTTTGGATTGCCTCCAACTTCCCTTCTTGGCGCAACTACAAGAAATAGGATTGAAGAGAAAAATGAAGCAAAGGCTTTGTGATGCAGTGTCCCAGTCAGCCTGCTTCCATACTGTCCAGGATGAAACGCATCATGGGAGAGAGTCCAAAAGGGTCTCTCCATGGTACGTACAGCTCTCCTTCGCTTGACAGCAAATTCAGTGACTGTCATTGCAACCCTTCAGTGTTAGTCATTTCTCTGCAAATAATTTTATTAACGAGCTGAGCTCATCCAGGTTGTAGCTGGTATGGACAGTTCATGTGTTTTTTAAGCTTTGTATCATCTAAAGGACAGGGCGCTTAAAATAAGTTCTGCAATGCCATACCCTCAGTTTTTAGGGTTTGTGTTGCGCTAGGACACAGGCCAGGATCCTGTTGTGCTGGATGACTTTAACGGTACTTGCTCATTTGCAGAAGCCAGAATGGCTTTCCTCAACACAAGTATATTTAGACTGAGACGCTTTAATGAATTCTCCCATAAAAAGTCATATGTAAAAGCATGTGATTTGAGCCTAGCAATTTCAACTGGATGTTTTTTGAACAGTTTCCTACACATTACCTTTCAAATAATTTCTGCAAGCTGCTTGGCAAGATCACAGCACTGTATTGCTAAGGTGATGAGAAAATCGAACCCCAGGAAAAAACACAAACATGGGTGGAGAGAGATAAACGATTACAAAACACAACCAACCCTTTTAAACAAAAACACTACCTTTCTTCAGTTTCTTGATTACAAAGCTTCGACAAGCTGAAAATGTCCTAGCTATGCTCATAATAAGGCAGCAGTTTCATTCTGAGGCTGTGACCCAAAAGACTTGCTGAATTTGCTAAAATATCTCAAGATCCAGCGTTCCCCCTGCTCTCTTTTGACAAAGCAAAGAGGGAGCTATGCAAGTGACCATCAGACAACAAGTGTCTCTGCACTGACTCTAGTGAGAGTCTCTAACTGCTCCAAACAAAAAGTCGCACGAGTTCACGAATTAGGGTGGCCAAGAGAGCTGCGTGCACTTGGAGACCGAATTCCTTCCCTCCCTGCCATGAATGCCAGGAACTAACTCACCTTTTTTTCCTCCTCAAACATTTTCCTGGAACTAACTCACCTTTTTTTCCTCCTCAAACATTTTCCTGTTCTCTGGTGACGCATAAACGGCAAGCCCTTGAGGGAGGAGTTTGTTGCGACCCACAGACTTCTTAACGAAGACCACGTCTCCTCGGCTTCCCAAATCTGCGTGTGTGACACCAAGAGACAACGACAAGACAGTGCTAGCGAGGTGCACGCTGGCTCAGCCAGGAAAGGTGCCCCTTGGCTAACGCATAATAGAAAATCCCACAGGCGCTGCACCAAAACTCTGTAGTCCCAGCTGCAGCTCCATCATCTGAGGGAAGTTTAAAAAAAAAACAAAAACAAAAACCAACACCCAAAACAATGCAAAACCACAAAACAGTCATCTTTAATGCTCTACAATCCTAAACCATCTTGCGTTTCGAGTGATGAATCCCTGCCACCACTAGATCACCCAAATTTTGCCTAAGGAAACAGAGACAAGGCTAGGACCTAACCCAGGAATCCCTCCTCTTCCCAATATGAACACAGATGGCCTTTGTATGCAGATGAGTGCAGAACAGGACAGAAACAGATTTAACTTATTACTGATGCCCAGCTACAGCTCAGCTCTGCTGTAGGAAGGAAAATATATCTTAAAAGGAACCTACTCTCCACTGACTGAGTGAGGATCAGCTCCAAGTCCTTCTTGGGCAGGTGCTTGGTGTCTTCCACCAGCCTGTAGATGCGGTGCCTCCTGGGGTGCAAGCGGGGCTTACACCCCTCTTTGCTCAGTGGCACCTGCCACCACCGCTCCACCACCACCGTGGGCTGTCGCAGGAGGGAGGAATGAGGCCAAAGCACAACTCCAGACTGCAAATCCCGCTCCACCCCAGGTAAGAGCGGCCAAGACCCCCCCCCCCCACAGGGAGGAACCCGCCGGGCCATGGCAGTACCCCAGCTCTAGCCCTGCCTGATCCAGCCTGCGCAAGGAGGATGCCCCTCCCCCATATCCACCAGCTAACCTTCCAAATTCCTCCTCAGATAACCCCCCCAAACCCTCCTGCAGCCTCCCTTAACTTCCTTATGTACATCCTACACCCTTGCACTTGCACATCCTAGATACCAGACCCCCCAATACCCTCCATCCAGTCCTCCTTGCATACTCCCCCATGAACCTCAACATACACCCAATGGCCCCAAACAGCCCCCCCTAAACACCCCCAAAACTCCAAAACCCTGCCTGTCCCCAAAAAAACCCTCTACCCTAGCACCCCTCTGCCTGCTTCCTGCCCACCTCCCTCACTTAAATCCCAACCCAGCTCCTCGGACATGCCCTCAGACACCCCTCGACAGCTCCACACTAATACTAACTACGCCCCAAAATACTCCTCCACACCAATACTACTTGCTTCTCCACCCCGTGCCCCCTCTAAACCCTAACCCTGCCCCCAAACTAACCCCCACAAGCCCCAACA